TTATTATAAAAATAACGAGATATTTTAAAAAAACTTCATGTGACACGAATTTCGAATTTATTTTCACATATAGAAAATCAATTGATGTGACATGTCCTGTGACTATTATTATTTGTTCTTTGATTATATCCGCCTCCATATCTTCATCTCTTGTTTACGCAGGTTATTCTACTTCACTCAATGAATCAGTCAAATTTTCCTTTTCTAGTCTTTTATGTAAGAAGATACGTTGGAAATATTCACAGATGATCAAACACGTGATTTTTAATTGATGAATGAAATGTTTTACCACACCTACCTCTGTTACACGAATCCCAACCCAGAACCCACCCCCTGATTGGTAGAAAATAAGGAAATCTTATCTTAAAAAAGCCTTGTCATGTAATCGAGGTAGGCGTGGTAAGCAGTGTCTGAAATTGAGTGCGGGTGTTTGTGTTACATATTGAATTTAGCCAATCAACGTTAAATTTTCTACCAGAAGGACAAATTTGATTGGCTAAATTCAATATGTAACACAAACACCCGCACTCAATTTCAGACACTGGTGGTAAGAGTTTTCATCTACAGGTACTACAAAGTGGTTTTTTATTTTCTGATTAAAAAATCAAAAAAAAAAAAAATGTATCAATATATTCTTTGATGTTTATTTCATCTTATAAAATAAAGGGATATAAATTTGAAATCTCCCTCGTTTTTACTATGTACTATTATGACTTTTGACATTCATAATGTCATATTGTCATAAGTCGCAATGTAATTATCCCTTAAACGTACAGGGATTTTTGGTCCAAATTTGTGTAGATCTTCCGAGTAAATTCAATCCCTCTTTAAATTAAAATGCTACTAACAAGCCCCGAATATTTTTACATTTTCAATTAACATATATCCTGAAAAATTTATTTTTAAAAAATCGTACATATTGGAATCATATTTGAGGTTTTTTATAAGTAAAGAAACATTTGTATCTTTTTTAAAAAATTTTTTTTTTGAAAAGCTCACTATATGGAAAATTTTAATTATTGATACTAGACCTATGGTTCTTAGACATAAATCATGTAATTTGATCTGCCTAAGAAGTTCTATCAGTAGTGTTTACATACTAGCTAATAATTTTAGTGAAGGAGATATAGGGTTTATATAACTGTATCGCAAATTTTTACTATCAAGCAACGTGATTTTCATAACAAAAAAATGTGTATTTTTACACACATTTTCTTACCTGTTATATGTAACCCCCAAATAAATTTTTTAATATAAGTATGGGGTTTTGAATATCATTTATGATTGTGGTGAGACCGCAGGAAAATATCTTTTTTATAATTTTTGGTCCAGATTTGGATCAAAAATTCGTTTAAGGGATAATATTATTATTATTTTATCACATGTTCGCGATATGATTGGCCGGTACATCGATAAAATTGGAATGCTTTTTTTGACCAAGCGAAAAATCACTAATGACTATGGACTACGAACTATCTACCATTAGCTAGTAAATACTTAACTAATTAATCAACATTTCAGAGCCTTGCTCATAAGAGTAGAAGCAGGAAATTGTTAATTAATTCATTCCTGCAACAACATTTTTACAAAAACTAATTAATAAGCAAATAAATTCTTTTGTTTAACTTTTTTAGTCAGCAATAAAACAGAGGTTATCAGAATGTTATAAAACTAATTTCTTGGCGAGATTCACCGTGTAACAGTTTTTTATAATAAAAATCAACCCAAATAACACGAATAATGTTTAAGACGATTATTGCATATGGTTCCACATATAATAAATCATAACTTGATAAGACGAATAATATCGGTTTATCGAAAGAAACTTTGTTTTATTTTGTATAATTTTATAGATGATTTGCGTATTATTTTCACATCAAAAAAATGTTAAAATGAAAAATACACTGACATTAAAAGAAAAAAGAGAAATATGTGTTCTAAAATAATCAAAACCTACTCCAACCTTGCTACTCGTTTTATAATTCGTTAAAGGAGCATTTTATTGTATAAAAGTTCGCTGGCACTTCAACACAATACAAATACATCTGTTTAACGAGTTCCGACTGTTGGATTATTGGGGTGTTGTACTGACAGTATTACATTATTATTATGCTCACTTTTGGGTTTTGTTGCAGCATTCCCCATTTGAAAAATAGTGTCTGTTTTTTACATTTTTATTGTTGAAAAAGATTTCCTTATATAAAATGTCGCACACTCGCCCAATGTTTATGTGATAATTTAACGGATATTTTATTAACAGCAATTGATTAATTAATTGACAACAAACAATTAAAAAAAAATAATTCCTTTTCTTTTAACAATGTATTTTCTATTTCAATGTTAGCAAGAATATAAATCTTGATTGGTAAACGGGAGAGAGAAAGAAAGGTTTATACATATAATATCTATAAATATTGAGATTACTAATACGTCGTGTGACTCTGGTTCAGCTAAAGATAGATCCATCAGAAAGCTGTCAGCACCCTTCCTTATCTATACGTACGTACGTGTATCATTTAATATTAGCTATTGTCTGTTCATTTTTTTATGAATAAGTGAAGTTAAAGCCCGGAAGCCATGTTAAAAATGTATAATTAAAATTATCTATCAAGGAAATCTGTTCGCCATATAAGGAAATAGATTGGACGCATAATCTTAAATCATTGGTTACCATTAATTAAACAATACTAAAAATATAACATTAATGTACACAACAAAATTGAATAATGGGTGGTGTATAAAAGACTCATCAATTTGATATATTTTTTTATTTTTGTAATATTAAAAATATTAAAAGCGAATTACCGTTTGCCTCAAGAAAAAATTTTAAAAACATTAATTACATTAATTAGGAACTTTCTAAAAACGGGAATACAAATATATATATATATATATACGTACATATGCATGCATGAAATTTTTTTTGTTGTATATAAATTGTAATAATTTAAACATCTTACGATCAAAATTTTTTCCACACCATTAATATCGTCGTCGTTTTAAAGGTTTTCCTAACTGTTACCTTTACCACCAAATTCATGTTTCTTTTATTTTCTTATTATTCATTGTCATTTTAATAAAAAACACACCCTTTTTAGATATTTTTTACATTCCTTTAAACAGTCGTTAAAATCAAAGAAAAATTCTTCTTCCAAAAAATTATTTACAAAGAACAATATTTATTAGGACAATTTTTTTTTTTATTGAATCAACATGAAGAATTCAAGGAAACAGTTTTACAATAATCGTTATCATCATTATAATAATAGTAGTAATATCTTATCAATTATTATAATATTTTTACTAATAATAAATTATGTCGGGATTGTAGAATCAATTATTCCAATACCAAGGCATTCTACAACTAGCATTTTAATCGATTCAAAATTGTATTTTTTTGGAGGAATTGGAAAAGGTTCAAACGACATTGAAAGTTGTATAAATCAAATATTATTATTAGATTTATCCAATTCATTCAACAACAATGATATTCCATGGACAGATTTAACATCACAAATAACTTCCAATAATACACCACAGCCATTAAGTTATTGTTGGAGTTCAATTGGCGATAGCAATAAAATAATATATTTGTTTGGTAATGTTGGAAGAGAAGTAACATCAAAAACGTCTGCCTCTCCTTCTAATATTAATGGATTTGTAACCGCTTTTGATCCATTGAGCAAACAATGGAAAAAGCCAGTCATTGATGGTGTTACACCAGAACAAAGAATATTATTTCAAGCTGTTAATGATAATCAAAATGCAAAAATATATATTTTTGGTGGATCGAGTGGTTTTAATGGTGCTACTTTGTTAAACGATATGAACGTTTTAAATACAAATTCAAATAACAGTTTATCCTGGGAGTCAATTATTTTCTCCAACAAAGACAAGCCTCCACTTTGGTCTGATTATACCGCCACGCTGTTATCTAATGGAAATATTATTTATATTGGTGGAAAACAAATGATTCCTGGTTCAAGTGTTATATCACTTGCTCAAATGAATGAGGTAAATATAATTTTGGTCATAATAAATATAATAATATATGACTTTAATTAATAAATTTTTTATCTTATTTTAGATATGGGTTTATGATACTAAGAAAGCTGTTTGGAAGAAGAATGTAAGTGTGGTTTATCAAATAAATAAACAAGATTTGATGAAAATTTTACCAAAGAAAAATAGTTTTATTGATTTATTTATTTAATAGATTGCCACTGGTATTAATCCAGATGTGAGAATTGGCCATTCTGCTGTATTGGGTAAGTACTTTATTTACAATGTAAGCAATATTTACTATAATTAATTAATTAATCAATTAATAATTATAATTCCTTATTACAAAATAAATACAAAGATGCAAATGATAATATAATTATTTTTGGTGGTAAGAGTTCAAATGATGGAATGGAACCTGCAACACCAAATCTAATTGTTTTAAATACAAGTAATTTTCAATGGTCAGAACCAAAAATATCCAACCAATCACCACCTGCTCTTGCATATCATTCTGCAACCTTAATTAATAATCAAATGATGATAACATTTGGTGAGCAAAATAAATACTTTTTGTAAATATATGCGAACTTTTATTCATATTCAAGTTATTCTTTATTTGTATAGGAAACACGACAACAGGACCATCTTCAGATATTTATATTTTGGATATTTCGTTGCCTTCCGAGTACAAATGGACACCATCATATAATCTTAATCTTAGTAATAGCAATGTTATTACTAAAAATAACGAATTAAATTCAGAACCATCATCATCACCATCTTCAACAACGAATTCATCATCACCATCTTCAACATCGTTGTCGTCAACTAGTGATGATGTGACAGAAACACCCTTTAAATTACCACAAGAATTAGGAACTATAATTGGGGTAACAATTGGAGGTGTTTTTAGTATAACTACGATAATAGTAGTAACAGTTCTATTGTATAAAAAATGGAAGAAATTACAACAATTAAAAAATACCACAAGTCCTCTTTTTTCTGAAACGCCTCCACCTGGTATTGATATCGAAGCGAAATCTCCGACTTATAATTAAACATTACCACATTATTAAATTTAATTAAAATTTTAGATTTTTAAATTTTTGTAAATTTTGTAAATTTTTAATTCCTTTTTCATTACTATTAATAATAATTAATTTATTGACTTACTTAATAAACGTTAGACTTGCATATATTTTTTTTTATTCAATCAATTACAATTAACAAAAGCATCAATCTTAATATGTAGATCGACAATTAACAATAAATTTTATAAATAATAATAATAATCAAGAGCGTGCGAGAATTACGTAAAACTTGCTGAAACATTTTGTATATCATCCACTCAAACATTATAAATTTTGATTGGTTATTTTTTTAATTAATTTTATTAATACATAATATTATAAATATTTTATTGTTTTTTCTTTTTTAACAAAAAAAAAAATCGACTTTTACTATTTAACATTATATTTATAACAATATTACATATATAAATATAAATATAGATAAAATATATTTTATTTTATTTTATTTTTAGATAACAACAACAGTAATAATTCAAAAAAAAACGCGTAAAATTTCTCAAAAATTTAAATAATGATGGAGTGTAGTGTTTTTGCCCCTGAATCAAGAAGAATAATTACAGATTATATGGACATAACGTCCGCTTCAACTACACCTTTAAGAACACCTAGCAGCAGCAATAACAACAACAACAATATTAGTAATTATTCAACACCTTTAAGGCAAAAACACGTTCTTGTTCATTTATCCTCCTCGTCAACTTTAACTCCAACGTCGTCGCCCTCCACCACTCCTACAACTATCATATCTTCTTCTTCTTCTCAAGAATCTCAAGAATATAATAATAATAACCATACTAATGCGATAATTTCATCGGATCATCGTCGTCAATCACCATCAAGTTTTCAAAGAAAATTATTATCAGTAAACAATAATTCTAATAATAATTCCAATTCTAATAATAATAGTAATAATAACAATAGATCTAAATCCAATACATCTACACCTACACGTACGTCTAATGTTAATGCTAATATTGTCAATGATAATGATGATAATAATGTTTTCATTTCGTCACCACAAAGAAAATCTTTAAAAAATACAGCAGAAGCACAATTACTACAAATGTCTAAATTAAATTTTTCCAATTTAACATCGAGTGATTTTCAATCACAATCATCGGATGGATCTTCAACATCTACCACTACCACTACTACATCATCTGGTAGTAATAGTGATAATAATAATAATACATCAACTAGTGCATCAAGTCTTAATAATGATGATACATCTACTAACATGCCAAGTAATCGTAATAGTGATGATACACCATCTGCTAGTATATCTAATGCACCTTCCTACGTCACTACACCTAAATCTACTTCGTCAAGTCAATCTTCAATATCCCCAATATCATCTTCAGCAACAAAAAAGAATGAAAATAGTGACAATAATGACAATAATGATAACAACGAAAAAATAAATCGTTATAATGAATCAATTCAAGGTTTTAATAATTTTGTAAAAAATTTACAAGAATACAATGATAAAGATTTTAAAACGAAATTTGATTTACTTGAGAGAACTTTATCAAGAATAAAACAAAACAATTCTGATATTCCTGATTTCTTTAGACCATTGTATGATTCAAGTGAAGGTTGTTTTTTAAATCCTGGTGTTCCAGTTGAAGATATTTTCATTTTTAAAAATCAATATCATTACCCTCATCCTTGTTTTTATTAAATATATATATATATATATACATGTACATTTGGCTATTTTGTTATTTTTTTTTGATGAATGAAAAATGATCTTGGGGTAAATATCGATTAATTTTATTGTTAGATAGAATCTTTTTATATATCTTTTAAATAAAAAAAATTAGCATCAATTATGTTACATATTGTTATTTGATGATCAGACAAATTTTAGAATATTTGTCACGAGACTAGAACAAATTGATCCATGTGACTATTATTAAATTCGATGAATTAAATGCGAGTTTTATCCATTAGAAACTCGCATTCTATGATTTTCATTATATCTAAAATAATTCTCAGGGTTCAAACTCCTGGTGGACGACCCCATGCTATTCTTGCAAATTTATTTTCTATATTAATCCTTCCCTAAACCTTTTAAAATTCTCAAGATTATGTCAAAAGTTTGCGAATAATTATACTAATGCTGACTTCTCATTTCTATTTTATATACACACAGTAGAAATTTTTACTCAACATTCTTGTCAACTAAAAAACATGAGTAGTAGTAAATCGGTCTATTTAAGTATTATTATTTTTTTCCTAAAATCAGTTTTAAAAATATTGGTTAAATTGGCCGATTCACCAAATTGATTATTCTTCATATGTCAAATAATGACAGTCTTTGAAATGCTTCCAAGTATAAATATTAGTTAGTATTACTGATTTTACAGCTGCGGAAACATTGCAAACAGGAGTTCCAAGCCCTTGCTACATAATGTGCCAACTTGCACAACTGAGGTATATTGTTTTCAACACAATATATAATTAGCGCTTGTGTAAGTCGTGATGCTCCTGCTATAATTAATCTCATCCTTTCAACTGCATCTTCAATAACATTATGTAATTCAGGTACTGCAAGAAATGAATTAAATCCCATTTTCACAGTAATAACAACACGGTAGATGGTAGTATCCTTAATAGTCTGTTTTTTTACGAACCAATTTGGAGATTTACATTTCTTGGATGTTGACCTTGAGTGACCTTCTTGTTTACATGTAGCAGAAGAAGACATCATAAAGATCGCTGTTTTTTTATTTGCCTCTTTATCTACATGCTGTTTGGTTTTTTTCATTTTTGTGCACTTTCAGCAACCATGATTTCACATATATTTTGAAAATAAAGATGATAGTTGTAATGAAAAATGAGTAAAATTCATGTGTAAAATCTGATGTAATGAAGATTCTGCACGATAAACGTGTCAGACATGGAATAATAATTAAACACTAGATCGTGATAAAAGTACTGATAATTAATTGAATTGTATATTAGTAACCTGAATTCAACGTACTTGAAGAATAACTTTGTAATAAGTTAATTAGTTCTGACTAAACGAAACAAACAAAATATTATCTAATAACTCATTAATAAACATGCAATCGACGAACCCAGAAACCTTCATTCGTGTTATCAACAAATCATTATGAGAGATATTAAGGATTCTCACTTATCAATTTAGTATTGAATATTTCTACGGAAATCCCAACCAGCTCTTTAAATTATATTATCAAAAAGAAGAACCAATAGCTAATAACCCCTATCATATTAACATTGTTATTCCTGCGGGATTAAGGGACATATAAAAAAGGATCGTAAAATTCAAGGATTAGTTGAAGAGGACGAAATCGAATTTGTGTTTCAAAGCCAACTCTACTGCAATCATTGTAAAAAGCGGGGACAATTAAAGAAGAAATTATTGTTCCAGTAACCAAAGTATTGTTTGAGGAGATTCCAAACAATCTACCTTACGAAATAGATCCTCGCGAGGATTAATTCGTACATTTTTTGGCCGCAAATCTAAATATCATAGCATGCTCCACGTATTCCTTTCTCATCTGGTGGAATAATATGTATGGATGCTGATTAGAACTTGTTCGATGATAAAATTTATTTGTTGTTATCGATTATGAAAAATCACCAAAGCCACTTTATTATTCCACGAGTTGTCCGCAAATTTTAACCATCATTTATACACGGAAAACACACACTAATATACCGAAATGAACTATCTCGAAAGTTTTAGAATTTTTCCTCATTATAAAATCACAAACAGTTTTGTAATATAAATCAAAAAGTTGATAAAATAAGAGCCTTGGAAAAAATACAGACCAAGTAAACCAGTCGACGAAGCAATTATTTGATAAAAAGACTGTATTGAATTCAAAATTTCATTCATTTGTGAATTACTTGAGGAAAGTTGTTGCCCCTACTATTAAAAATTTCTATTAACGAAAATCAATCCTAGAAGAGAAATAATAGAAGTTATTCAAGAATGGTTTAATAAAGAAACAAATTGAAAACGAGAAGGTAAGGATGATACTAATATTAACAGTAGTGGAATATAGAATGGATTTAGATAAGGGCGACCAAATAACATGTAATACTCATCAATGGCTTTCTATGCAATTGTTCTACTTTATAAATAATTATGTATTTTTTTCTTAATAATTATTACTTATCTTTTGTTATTTGTTTGATCCTTTCTTGAATGTAAAGTACCCTTGATTCCACCATTTTATCATGCATTTTCACCACAATATTTGTGATTATTATGCTAAATAATTGTATCACCAAAGTAATAATACCATGCGGAAATGAAACTTTAAGGAATCAATTATAGAATGTCCTCCCCACAAACATAATTAGAAAATAAACCACCATGCATGATGTTTTGTTGAATTTTAATCCATGGCCTCTTTCCATGTAGGACAATGGTCCATCACCTTGTCATCAAGTGGTGGCGGAAAAACTTTAGTGACTTGGTTTCCTTTAAAATGTGCACGTATGCTGTATTTCCCAGTTGTACCGTGCACGCCATTATAACCCATCATATGCTGCGCAAAATGTTTCAAAAAATTTTGAATTTTTTTTTATTACTTTCATTACAAATTTGATGTTAAAAAAATTTGAGGTAACATGGCAAGATTAAAGATGTCGATCAAAAATAAAAATATTATTAGTTTAATTCATCTATTTCATCTATCACATTGTCTGGAATCCTTTTATGTGACTTATATTTTTTTAGAATATATTTGACCTGTAGTACTGTTAATCCTTTCCTGTAACAATCCTTAAATCTTGAGGCTCTCACCACATACTTACTAATTTTGTTTCAGTGATATCGCATTGGGGACATTCTCTTGAGTGCTTTTCCATGTGTAATTAAAATGTTGTCTAACATATCATTTAGCAGCCCCCAAATACATTTCAATGTAGTTAAGCTCACAGTGAAACTTTGGATGGAAGATGACTTTATGTTCTTTCTTCAATTAATTCTTGAAGTAAGGGTTTTTGGTTTTAAAATCATCTTGGGTTGCTAAGATATGTCTAGCACAACAAGTCAAAGGTCCTTCAAGAGAAACTTCAAACAAAAATTTGAATGGGATTATTTTATGTTCATAAATTCAATGCAATTATTATTATCAAAAAAAAACGCGTGAAATTTTTGAAGATTTTTTTTTAATTTTATGGATGAATTATCGCGTGATTTACCAGAATTAAAAAATCTATTTTTATGTGTGACTTGAGGTGGGCCAAAATTACATGTTTCAAATTTGGAAAATTTTATATACAACATATAAAAATTACATGATTTTCAAAAGCTTATAACTCCTGAACCAATAATTATTTTTTAATTGTCTCGACGATAGATTGTAGAACTAGTCAAAAGCTATCAAATATCGTCTCAATTAATTTTTTGATAAGCACGTAATATTTTCTTTTTAGGTTTTAAAGTTGGTCAATTTTTATTTGATGGGTGCACTATACACAATTACAAATTGAACAAATTGGAAGGCTTCGGACAAGGCAGGAGGCTTTAAACTTTAGGGCCAAGCTTCCCCTGAAAATTTAATTGTGTCATTTTATCATCGGGGGATTAGTCATATGTGAATGAGGTGTAAGTTTCCATTAATCAAGTGTTACATATTGAATCATTTGTTGTCTCCAAATACAATTTTCCCAATAGTCACGTCGCTTATAATTATTTATTTAAATAATGATCACGCAAAAGTATACTAACCGTTTATAATAAATTTCTGGCACAAAGGGACCAGCTAACCAATTACCTACAAGTATATGTGGCGCAGTCGAATTTTATACAAATTTTTTATTTTTCCAATAAAAATATTTTCTACGCGTCTTAAAAAAAGCAATTAGACAAATCGAAAGAGGCCAAACATCACAACGTTACAAAATCAAACGAGTAAGTAAGAGAGAAGAAGAAGGTTAAAAGCTTTTCTAGTTACTATTAGAAAAATAGCTCTAATTTTTGTACATGTAACACTTGTGCACGTAAAAATTAATAATATTGATTAATTGCTAGAAATCAATGTACAGAAAAGTCTGCTGCTTAAACTGATAAAGCATACTCTTTGAATATGTTAATCTTGATCTTTTTTAAAAAATGAACTTGAATTTAATTTTATCTTTGTGTGATGTAATGTAAAAAAGGATGACAATAATAAATTAAGGGAGTTTTGCATTTAACAAATTCAATGAAGAATCAATAGTAATAATCGAAATGTTGATGAAAACTCACCATCAAACGAAATTCAATTACTGATTGGGAATGCTAATGATAGAACTTCAGATTTAAAGCTTGATATGAATATTTTATGAATGTGTATTCAATAAAATCATTACTTCATCAACAATAAGAACTTCTTAATCCAGACATAATTGAATTATTTCATAGACATCAACAAGAATCCTAATGTAAGTTTAGCATCATCCTTTTAAAGCGTGTATGATTACTCCCTGTTCATTAATATTTTATACATTTGTTTGTTTGCTGATTTTAGCCCTACATACTAGGGAATATTGGACTTTGACTAGAGAAATCTTAAGAACTTTGAAATAAAAGATGAAGTCATCCAAAAATTATCACAGGACTTTCTAATAAAATTGGATGGAATAAAAATGCTACTACTCCAAACAACATTCAAAAATATCTTGATAATAATTGCATAAATATTGATAAAGATGGAGCCGTCTAATAATTGAATATGAACGTTGAATTTATGTATGTGTATTAAATACAATCTGAAATTTTAATATGATGTTCTTATTTTGGACTATTATCCAGATGCCAAATTTAATTCAAATGTGTACTGAAAATGTCCGTTGTTTTCTAAATCACCGAATATAAAGGCTATTGGTAATGAATCACTTATATATCTTTGATATTTTCTTTTGAAAGGATTTCAAACGACAATTATTTTCAAATATAGGAATGAGTTTCAACCAATCAAGCGTAAAATGAAAAAAATTGATCCTTTCTCAAGGGAAAAATGGATATAAAGTTGATGTAAAAGGAACCTTGATTAAAACACTAACTAAATTCGAGATCATATGGAGAGGTTTCTGGTGGCGTGGTTTTTCTTGGAATGCCTGTTTCTTGCAGGAAAAAAAAATAATATGTCGACAACTCAAGAAAGTAATTGTATACGGATGGTTACAAATTCTTTGCTGTAAATAGAAATAATAGAAATAAGAAAGATTTGTGAGAATTCTTATCAAAAGATTATATTAATATTTTAACTGTAAGACGTAAACTTTGCGATGGATTGGATCGGTCTGGCATGTATAGATTTGGAAAACTGCAGAATGTCGATACCACATCTTGGTATAGCCGAGCCAAAGACATGTAGCAAAAGTCCTAACCAATATAAATTTTGTGCGTATATATTCTTCACTGATTTTCCTAATGCAGTACTAAGCTGTGGTTTGCAGGTGATCCAAAAAAGTACAGGGGAGGTGAGACATTTATGGATGCGAATAGGACAAAACTTGCGGAGCTTGGATGCAGTCACGATCATCCAATCTGCTCTGGATAATATATGCTAAGTCGGAACCAGTGTCCAATTTTCCCGAGTCACTCTATAAATTATTTAAGTAGGTAAACTAGGAAGGAGCCAAACAGTATTTGGTGAAAAAGGATCAAGAATTGGTGCATTGTTGTAAAGAATTTGCCCACATGGAGAACAATCTCATGAATGCAAGAGATCCCGCTCCAGTGCCTCGTGAAGTATCAGCTGGAGCATGGCTAGATCTACCAGAAAAATTGAGAGTGTCATCTGAATAATTTTTTTTCCTCTACCTTCAATGATGTGTTCGATACAAATCATAATGATGAGTGAGTGAATTAATGTATTATTCTCTTTAGAGATAGATTATGGATGGGAAGATTTATCCTTCATCAACAAGGTTTCCTATATGTGTGAACCATTAACGCTTTTATTTGCCATAGCCATGAGTAGAATGTGTAGCCTGGGGTGGACGGTACTCATGTTAAGCTTCATCCACATCGTCTTTTGAGCTCTTCGTGGCGTGTAACCTAAACAGAGATGTTAGGGATAAACGAAGTTTAATCAATGCTAAACAAAAGGTGATTTAAGTGCTGAAAGACCTGATTATACCTTCATTGTCCAGACAGGGGATGTGAAATGGTATATGACAAAACCGGTGTCCCGAATCTGATAAACAAAAACGGCAATAGAATCATAAAAAAGTGACGGGGCTTTCCAAGGGCTCAATTGAAGGTTAAGAATATATTATTATTAACATTATCAATTTAAAAATCTATGAAAAAAAGAATCGTGATAAATGTTTTTTTAGATGAATTGACTCACTTTTTAAAGCCGAATTGAATGGTTGTGGTTTTTAAAAATCCAACATCTGGATCACGTAATATTTCAATAGATGATCCGCACAGCACTTTTCTATGTAATCAATTGTCTTTACCTTAATATATTATAACTCATTCGCCTATTACTATGAATCAATGAAATATGATTAGCATATTTCATTGACAATAAAATGACCAATCAAGCACCTTGGTGTGAAAAGTTGCATTGTACTTTTGCCATCTACTAAATAAAAATTTTTTTTTGTGTGTGCAAATAGGAAAAAACTCAAAGGTTGCGAAAAATTTTTACTTTTCCGCAGCAAGTTCACTGATTTCATAGACGGATTATCAATTAAAAAAATTATAATTTAGATCAAAACTCCTATTGGTAGGAAAAAAATCGTCTCTAGATGTGATATATAAGAATTGCATGAGTCACCTAAAATTAAAATAAAAAAAGTTTAAAAGCTTGTACCATAAATAACAGGTAATTATAATAAAATAAAATAAATAGTACAACACACACACACACACCTTCACTAATTCTTAAAAACCCCGATCGATTTCTTTAATTATATTATTTATCGATATTATTATTAAAAATACTTTAGTGTAATTTAAGAGTGTTTCAAACGAAATTAATGGTTTTAAGATTATAGTTTTTAACACCTTTTTTTAATTACGCGTTTGTACGAACAAAAAAAAAAAAAACATCTAAAATTTTTTTCTAAAAAAAATTTTTTATTTTCGATTATCACAAAGTACAAAATAAGAGTACAACAAAAATCTATTTTTATGATAAGTGTGGTATGGTAGATGTTGATCACTTATGAGACATTATATTTAATATTTACTATTTTATTTTCAGAATTAGAAAGGGTTCCTTCCAAAGAAATTATATATATATTGAATAAGAATTTGCATTTTTATTGGTCATAATTTTCACGCATTCACCAGAATATATATTATTTATTTATGTATCACAATACAATGACACGTATTTTTCTTACAAAAAAATTCCTTTCCTCCCACTTTTGTTTTCCTAGATAATAATAAATAAATTATAATGTCTATTGAAATTACTGCTCACTCTCAACAAGCTTCTTCTCCAATAATAGACACTCCTATTGTCAAGCTAGAAGATACTCCAACTACCATCCATTCTACTCCTTTAGAAGATACTCCTGTTATTAATCCTTTTTCTAAATTAGAATATACTACTATTACTTCCGCTCAACTATTACCTGCTCCTCAACTTGAAGAAACTCAAACTCTTAACACCTCTCAAATATACAAAGCAACTTATTCTAATGTTCCAGTATGGGAATTTCGGTAAAGAATTAAATCTATTTTTGTTCATTTTCTTCCTTTGCCAAGATTTATTTATACAATCTCTTACTAAAAATAACTTATAGAGTAAAAAATGTAGCTGTAATGCGTCGCAAAACAGATGATTGGCTTAATGCAACTCAAATTTTAAAAGTTGCTGATTTTGATAAGCCTCATAGAACTAGGATTTTAGAACGCGATGTACAGAGGGGTGAACACGAAAAAGTTCAAGGAGGATATGGGAAATATCAAGGTATTATTACCTGCCTTGTCTTATACCTTGTACTGTCTATAAAATCAAGTGTTTAATGAGATTATTATGTTTTTTGTTATGAATTATTTTTTATAAAAAAAACAATAATAATAACCCCCCAAAATAAAATTTAATAATTAATACACTAAAAAAATATATTTTAAAATATATTTTATTAATAATTTAATAATTAAATTTATTTTTAAAGGAACATGGGTGCCTTATGATAAAGGAGTAGATCTAGCAGAACGTTATAGGGTTAAAGAATTATTACAACCATTAATAGAGTTCAGACCTTCATTGTCAAGTCCCCCTCTTGCACCAAAACATGTCACTGCCGCATCAAATAGACCAAGAAAACCGCGTGAACCTAAAGAACCTAAAGAACCAAAAGAACCAAAACCTATTAAACCTCGAGTTTCAAAAAAAGGGAAGGCTAAAGCAAATGTAAAAGAACAACCCGAAGAAATAATATCAATGGATATAGAAATGGAAGATAACGATGTTACCAGCATACCCAGTTTACCTTCAACCTCCACCATATCACCTTCACCAGCAATATCGCCAATATTTCCTTCTTCAACTTCACCAAGTAATCCTATGCAAGATTTATCTTTTAATGATGCAACAGAATCAGATGAATATAGTAAAAATAAAAATAAAAGTCAAAAATTAACAACGCCTAGGAAAAAAAGGTGTAGAAAACCAGATAATAATAATAATAATAGCAATGGTAGTGGCGGTGGCGCTAATAAAAGAAAAGCTAAAATTTCCAAAATATCTAAAACACCAGAACCTACTTTGTCAATGCCAGCCACAAATCGTTATACTGAATTATTGTTAAAATATTTTGATTCAAATTCCAAGTCAATTCCAGACTTTATTGTAAATCCGCCACCTGATTTTGATCCTAATATGACAATCGATCAACATGGCCATTCTTCTCTTCATTGGGCTGCTGCAACTGCTAATGTTGAGTTGGTAACCTTGTTGATTAAAGCAGGCGCTGATGTTCACAATGGTAACGTTCTTGGGGAGACTCCGCTTATGGGAAGTGTCATGTCTACATTTAATTATGAAAAAAAAACTTTCCATGAGATTGTACAACTTTTGATTAAAACTATAGGCAATACTGATACTCGTGAACAAACTGTATTACACCACGTTGCAATTTTTTCTAATTTGAAGAATAAGAAGGAGCCAGCTAGATATTATATGGAGGTTCTTCTTTCCGACTTGAATCAATTTCCATCTTCAAATGAAGAATATCGAAAAAATATTATAAATAAACAAAATATAGATGGAGATACTGCAATTATTATGTTGGCTAAATCAAAAAATGAAGATCTTGTGAAATTATTATTTAATGCAGGTGGCGATCCTTATATTTCTAATAAAGAAAATAAAAATGTTAAAAGTTACTTTTTGGAATTAGACCCAACACAATACCAAGATCATCGACAAATACATCAGCAAAATGTGACACCAAATAATAATAGTAATAATAATAATAATAATAGTGGTGGTGGTGGTGGTAGCAGCAGCAGCAGAGATAGTAATAGTAGTAGTAGAATTCGAGCTAACAATAATTTTGTTAACACTCCAACATCACTTGGTTCTACCCTACACTTACCAGAACCTACTACAGTTATGAATCGTCTTCCTCCGCCTTTGATAAACAACTTCCTTCCTGTAACTGGTAATATTTTAGAAGATTTTCGTTCTCATTATACAAATGAACTTGTGATGAGGAATAATGAAATAAAGTCATGCAATGAGAAACTAAATTCAATTCAAAATGAAATCAAATCAACCCATTCTACAATTCAAGAAATAAGACAAAATACTAATGACTTAGATGAAAGAAAAGAACGTGTGAAGAAATTAATTGCTATTATAAAAGAAAAGATCGAAAAACAAAGCAAAGAAAGATTAGATGTTTTGATTGCTGAAGAAATGAAAAAAATCTCACTATCTAATGAGTCAAACACTTCCTTAATTTCTGAAAGGTAAGATTTTAGATAGTATAAGAGAGGGAGAGAGTGTGTGTATATGTATGGATATTTTATTAAACAATTTACTAATTGCCTTATAAAAATGATTTTTGCCAAGATAGAAAGAATGAAGAAGAACTTCATCAAGCTTTAGAAAACATTATTAATGAGAGAGATCAATTAATTAACAAACTGGTAGAAATGAAAACATCGCCTAAAGCGTCTACACTACCTTATAAATGGGTTTTTAATAGTATCTTAAAGGAAAATGTTTTTGTAGACAAAAACAATTCTAATTGATTTTGCTTTATTTTTAAAAATTGAATATTAAAATTTTGTCACTTTAACAAATTAAAGAGTTAATAGACAATTTTACTATTTATATATTAAATGTAAATGTGTATATTTTTTAAAAAAAATAATAATTCATATCTCATTATTTTATAGGAATAAAAGAAATATTTAATTTTAGACATTGATTTGATTTTTTTATTTTTTGATCGATACTGCGTTTATTTATTACATATTTTAATATATTATTACTTACTATTTTTGGTTCCTTGAGCACTTTACTAGACGGATCGCTTAAATTCGTGCTTTGGGTAGTACACGTATTGTTATAATGATTCAATGATTCAAAATAAAAAAAAAATGTCTGATTATCAATCTCTTACTACCCTTATTAAACGTTTAGAAGCAGCCACTTCTCGTCTTGAAGATTTAGCAACTACGGGAAGTAGTAATTCAACAAGTAGTACTACTGCTCCCGCCTCAACTACTACTATAGGAGGACAACAACCAACAACTACCACTTTGGTCACTTCAACAACCAATAATAATGATAACGATACAAAGAACGAAGTAAAACTTACACCAGCTCTTAGCGCATATGATGAACTTATTGAGGGACCTTTGAAAAACTTTCTTGAACTATCTAAAACCATCGGTGGTCTTGTTGAAGATCAGGTAAAATAAAGAAATGAAAGAAGGAAGATTATTGTATTAAAAGTCTTGTTTTTCGCAAAATGATTTATTTTACAAAAATAATTAATTATTACTAGAGTCATGCTGTCAAAGATATTTTTATAGCTCAACGAGATTTTATATACATAGCTTCACAAAGTAAAAAACCACAAACATCAGAAACATTTGTAAAATTAATTAAACCAACTCAACAAGCGCTTGAAAAAGTATGTGAATATCGTGAAAATAATCGTCCATCACCATTTTTCAATCATTTATCAACTGTTAGCGAAGGTATCGGTGCATTGGGATGGGTTACATATGAGACAAAAACTGCTCCTTTTGTTGGTGATTTAAAAGATGCTTCGCAATTTTATGCTCATCGTGTTATTAAAGAATTTAAAGACAAGTAAGTATTATTATTATTATTATTATTACAATGTGTGCTGAAAAGATTTTCTTATTTGGTATTGTTTATATAAATAACGGTTTAATTAAAACCATATTTTAATTACAGGGATCGTTCTCATGTTGATTGGGCAAATAGTTTTATTTTACTTTTAACTGAACTTCAGAGTTATGTACAGACTTATCACACTACTGGTCTTGTATGGAATCCAAAGGTTTGTAATAATTAATTCAAAAATATTTTAATCACTAAATTATATTACATTAATATATATATGTATAAATACATTTTGATTTAATAGGGTGTTGACCCAAGTGAATTCATTGGCAGAAAACCTGAATCAACATCAACAAAACAAAACACATCATCACAAGGTGGCCTACCACCGCCGCCACCGCCACCACCACCACCACCACCGCCACCCTCAAATTTTGATTCATCTAAACAAGTTGGAGAAACAGTTGATATGACTCAAGTTTTTGCTGAACTTAATCGTGGAGAACAAATTACATCCTTACTAAAAAAAGTTGACAAAGATCAAATGACTCATAAAAATCCAAGTTTAAGAGCTAGCAGTACTGTGGGCGAAGTTGGAGGTAAAAAAAATTTTTTTGATTTATGAATCTTTATTATTAAATTTGTATATATATTAAATGTCCATTTATTGAAATGAAAAAAAGTCAAGGTACAACAACATAAAAAAGGACCTACAGCACCACCAAAACCTGCTTCGTTATCTCTTAAGAAACCACCTAAGAAAGAATTGAAGGGTAATAATTGGATTGTTGTAAGTGTGAATTAATGATTTTATTTTAAGAAAAAAGATATTATATTAAATGAGTAAATTAATTTAATAAATACTTATTTTTAAATAGGAATATTATGAAAACGAAACAAATATTGTTATTGATGATACTGTAATAGGCCAAAAAGTTTATATATTTGGATGCAAAAACTCTACGGTCCAAGTTAAAGGCAAGGTTAATGCAGTTACAATTGGTAAGCTACACACACACATGCATACTATCTGTTTTCTTTTTAAAGCCATAAATAATAAATAATAAACATATTTTTGTTATATAATAAGATTCTTGCCAAAAAACTGGTCTTCTTATTGACTCAGTGGTGGCAGCAGTTGATGTTGTCAATTGTAAATCTGTTCAAGTACAGGTACAAGGAAAAACACCAACAATTGTTGTAGATAAAACTGATAGTGCACAATTATACTTGTCACCAGAATGTTTAGACACAGAGTTATTCACAGCTAAAAGTTCATCAATCAATGTCAATGTACCCAATCAGCAAGAAAATGGTGATTATCTTGAACTACCAATTCCTGAGCAAATTAAAACTACCATTAATGGCGGAAAATTGGTTTCAGCTCCAGTTGAACATAGTGGATGAAATAATAATAAAATAAAAAATTAGAAATCATTATTATTCCTACCTATTTATTGGTAATATCTTTTTTATTTATTATTATTGTTAATTATATTTGTTTTTAATGTGCTTTATACAATAACTATGTTATTATTCAATATTTTAAATTATTTTAAAAGTAAATGAGATGTTTTGTGTTTATATATAGCAATCAACTTGTAAATTAATGACTATATAATTCTATACCCCACTTGGTGATTTTGCGGATCACCAGAAATAATTGAATAAGTAAAGCATATTCTACTTTTGTATAATATACTCAAATGCTATGGTGTGAATAGTTTTACAAGACTTAAAAGTCAAACCAAAATTTTTTTTAAAGTTTTCTCATAAAACTTTAAACAAATAATTGATTGGGTAATTAATAGAAAATGCTTCTATCATCTAAAACATTTAAATTATAAATTCCCAAAAAGATCCATCAAATATTTGTAGAGAATTCATGAAAAATGTAAAAAAAAGAAATATAATAAATTACTGTCAAAAAAGATTTGGAGATTTAATTTTAGTTTTTAAAAAATAAAAACATGTTTAAAATAAGAGAATTACCAGTTGCTTGGAAATGTGGTGTAAAAGATGGCAGAAAATTGAAAAATCCAGATTATATTGTTGTCAAAATTAATTTGGCTTTGAATTCAATTCCCAAAATCTCAATTTTAATCAATTGATTGCATCAAAAAGTCATCTGATCAAGACAGGAAAAAAGTGGAAGGCCTAGAACAATTTCTGAGAGATGTCAATGCACCAAAACAAAATAGTTGAAAAGTTTTGCTACTGAGTTTACACAAGAGTTGAATAAAGCTCTTGAGGCCTGTGCTGTCCAAAGATCTCTGCATGAGAATGGATATTATGCATGCAGAAAAATGTAACCATTGCAAGTATGCAATCTGAGTTACTTACTTACCAGGTAATTCTTATGTTTTGCATATGGCTGGTCTTACTTTGCCCCCAAATTACAGCCCATAATTATACCTACTGACCCTAAGTTCAAATATCAACACATGTCTGGTTTTCCTAGAACCTCTAAATTACAGTTGATCTCGTTCTACATTACAAGGAGAAATTGGCAACCATATATTGATATATTCAAATGCTATATTTGTCTAATGCAACTTTTATATTAAACGTAGATCCACAATAAATTGTCCATTCATTTTTTTTAGATTCAGAAGAAGAAAGTGAGGTATCAAATGTTTGTTGAAATTGACATTGATATATACAGATTTTTCTTAGCTTTATGTATTTTGTTATTAAGGTGGTCATCAACCTTGACTTTCATATTCAATCAACAGAATGGTCACAAAATTCACAAAATAAAATTCCATTGTTAATGTGAAATTCACCAGGATTTTCTTCTACTCTAGTATTGAATGTAATGTACAGTACTTCTTCTATTTATCATGTTCAGTGTTGAAATTTAGTTGTGTAACTAGTACAAATTTAGAAACTATCTCCAAAAATTAAAAATTTGATTGTTGTGTAATGTTACACCCCGCATTCCCCGCATTGAATTTTCAACACTGATCATGTTATATCAAATTCCCATTTTTTATATTCAGCAGTACATTATATTATTTTCCGTTTTTAAACACACATTCTGTGATTTCTGCAGCATTCTGGGCAGTCCCCGCCCACTACTGATTCATAGACAAATAACAATTAAAATTTAATCGATAGTCCATTGATCAATGATAGTGATAGAAATTTAATTTGTGAGCCTTTTAACAAAATATAATTTAAATTAAAAAAAAAATGGGCATTAAAAGAAAATCAAAAATTTGGAAACAAGGGAGGCGGAACAAAATTCTCCAAAAAAAATGAATAATTCATAATAAGTATTTTTTGAATAAAATTCTTTATTCATCATTAATCATATTTTGATAAAAATAATTGAGAATTACTGTTAGAACTAGCAACATTGTGTTTACAATGTTGTAATTACATTATTATTTCTTTCATTATTTTATGTTTTTTACATGGAGCCCATAGTTGCCAAAGTGTAAACTATTTATTCTAGTACTGTAATATAAGAAAAGAGAATATTTTTATATTTTTGAATAAATCAAGTCCATATCCACAAAATTCTATCACTTTATGGATATATAGAAAGTCAGTACCGTATTGAGCTTTGAAAATTTTTTTTCAGACTTTCTATAGTCAGGACACCTAGTCCCTACAACTTTTATTAGTCTTGCAAATCCTTTAACTCCTCCGAAAATGGAAATGTGTGACCTAAAAAACAAGATGTCATTTTGAAGCTAAGACCTTTTCCTACAAAATGACATTTTCATTTTGTTGATATGCCATGTTGTTATGGAGGAATTAAGCCTTAAAGTTGCACAAGTTTAACAAATTTACTATGTTAATCCCACAAAGTGACATGTTACACACAAATTTTTTATATTAAAAACGAACGAATTGGAAGAATTGAAAATTTTGAAATATATATTTCAGATCCTTTAACACGTGATACCAATAAAGAGAATGCAACATGACAAATCTATTTTAAAACACGTACTGTAAAAATTTTATTGCATTTTTGATTGTGAATTTTTTCCCAAATCTGTTGCTGTGGTGCAGAAAGTTGTAGACTAGGTGTTCTGCATCATATTATTATTGTTATTATTTTTTTTACTATAAATATGGAAATTATATACAAATACCGAATTTTCGGGTCAAATTTTTTTTTTGATTTTCTCAAAATCACGTTTTTGCAGTTAGGGCTGTTACTATATTCTGCGCCTCAAATTATTATTATGTATATCAATACCAAAGATAGAGCAATAAAGTATAAGGACCTCGGACAATTGTAATTGAACTGGTTTTAACAAAAATGGGAATAAATTGGCATTTTTTTTGAGAATTGGTATGTAAAAACAGGGTAGAGCTAAAATAACTGGTATGTAAAAATGGGTATTGTAAAAATAAGTGTTTGAAGGGTATGCATATAATATTTTGCATAAAGGGAGCATTTTGTGTTTGTAAACTTGGTGGAAATCAAGAAGAAGAACTTGTTCTAGATCCATGGATGAGTGATTATTTGTAAAGCTGGAGAATTTGGATGTGAATTTGGACTATTACTTTCAACCAGTTGCTAAAACTTCACCTTCATTGATTCATTGATTCCAAATGTTGGACTTTTTCAAATGACAATTTCACCAAGACATAACATCAAAGTAACCATACTAAAGAAATGGCAGGATATAGCTGGCGAAAATATGTGATTGTTATATGGGGCATGGACAATAGAAAGGGACCAAACATCAAAATCACGATTTTGAGAAAATCGTAAAAAAAGATTTTGACCTAAAAACTCGGAAATTGCATATCATTTCTATATTCATGACAAAAACAGGGGCTATTTTAATAATATATATATATAATAAAAAATAAAAAATAATAATAATAAATAAATAATAAAATAATATGTAGAAAGAAAAATTTTAAAATTTATAGAAAGCTTTTTTAACAGGATTTTGAACATATTGAATGACATTTTCAAGTATATACTTTTTTCTGTCAAGGGTTAAACCTAAAGGATATTTTTTTCTAAAACAGCATCTATAGTGAAATTTTTGGTCATGTCTATATCTACAATACTTTTCTTAACATATACAATCCCTGGTTCTTCTTGATTAAAAATAAAATGATGATACTTTAAGATACTTGGTAATGGTTTAAATTTTTTTTTTAAATATTCAGTCCAGCTGTAAAAAAAAACTTTTCTTTCATCATTTTCATCATAAATTGTCTGAGCAACATTATACCCATTTGTTGATGATGCTATAACATTAACAAGATCCTCTAAATTATCAACTTCAGAATTTTTGAGCTTCAATTTAAACAATCCAAAAAACCCATCAGGACTAAATTTGGTATGGCCAGCTACCATAAAAGAATATATGATTCTTTTATGCTTACCTATTAGCACTCTCCATGCTAAATATTGAATCATTGCATTGTTTTTATTTTGTCCTGAACAATTATCTGCATGAATGATTATTTCCTCTTCACCAAGACCATACAATTCAAAATAATTATGTACTAAAGAAATAACAGCATCAGCTCCTTTGCCAACAAATTGTGATTCTTCTATGAGATAATTAATCTAGATAATAATCATGTTTATTACTTATTATATAATTTAAAAATCAATTGAAAAATTTTAATTAATTACCTGTCTGGGTCTAAAGTCTTCACAGATACAAAATACTTGAACTTTATATAAGGCTTTGAAAAATGAACTACCCTATTTGCCAATCAATCTATTTTAAATTTTATTTACCTTTCATAAAATTATTTATAAAAAACATAATATGCATACCACTTGTTGTGAAGAATATGGGATATGAACTTGTTCTGCAAAATCCCATGAAATGTGAAGTTTAATATTAAATGAATTTGCAGATCTAATAGGGTTTAAATCTTGATTCAGATTTTCAAATGCTTCCTTTGCATTTTTTATGCAATCTCTAAAAAATTAACAAATAAACTCAGCAACAATCTTTAACAAAAAATTAAAAAATATACAATGATTAATACCTATAATATTCACGCTCCTTCATTGCCCATGTAATATGATTGTTCCATTCTCTAACCTTCATTTCCTTTTCTTCTTCCATCCAACAATTTGCATTGAACCTATGTTCTTTGCAAACATGACATAAATCACTTCTTGGAGTAAGAAATTTCATTTCTGGAAGATATGTATGCCATATTCTTCGAAATGTTCTATTTGAGACATACATTTCAGAATTTTCTTCTACTGCATCAATAAAATATTTAAATACAGTTGTATGATTTTCATTTGCTGGAAGAAATATAATAGGCTTTGTGTCTTTTTTAAATTTTCTTCCTAAAATAAATTTTAGATTAATTAATAAAAATTTCATTTTCAATTTCAAATAATTTATATTTACCTGGAGATGGGAGTCCATTTATATTAGAATAATTTAATATAAATTTAATAATCTCCAAAACTACATCAAATGATATTGCTTTATTACCTACTCTTCCTGTTAAAGAATGTGTTCTTGGTTGTATATCAAAATCATTAAAATGACTTCTAATATTTTTCCATCTTTTTTTACCTATGCCATAGATACCTGTGAATGCAATACTACAAACCTCAATCCCTCCAAAAAAATAAATGGTTGCCAATTTCCTCCTTTTTTCTCCTTTAGCAGTTATTTCATTTCTCAAACTGGCAGAAAGAACACCTTTTAAAAAAATATCTTGTTCAGTTTTTTTTTAAATCAAGAAAGCATTTATATCTAGTTTTAACATTATTAAAATTTAAATTCATTTTCAAGCATTCTTTTTGACAGCAAACTTATTCTAGTAAATTTGTTATATAATGGTTGATATCATTATCTATTTGTATTTGCTCTTCATCGTCAATAATTTGGTCATTGATTATTTTATTTTTATTATAAATATTTTTGAATTTTTCTAATTGTTCTTTAGACAAAGTTTCTGTTTCAAAATCATTTTCTTCTTCTCCATAACTTTCTTCCACTTCATCATGCCTTTCTTCTGCTTCATTAACTATTTCTTCATTTTTGTTGATAATTGAATTAGGCATATAACCTATTCTCAAAT